ACTTGGGAGTGCGGCGGCGCTCCCACCGAGGGTTCAGATCCCATATAGAGACCGGTCTGCTCACTGGTTGAGCACGGTGTGGGTGCAACACCGAGGGTTGCGATCCCATTACCGGTCATGAAAAAAGACAAAAAGGAAAATAAATAAATAAATAAATATACAACTTAGTGTATATTTATGAAGTTAATATCTGCACTATAGTTATATTAGACTATTCCTATTCACAGGAAATACATTCTGAAATATTTAGTGGTAAAGCATCATGTATGTAATTTACCCTCAAGCAGTTCAGGAAAAATATGACATATATTATATATCATACATGCTACACATGATATATGATATTTCATGCATATTGTATTTTTCAAATGATAAACAAATGAAATAAAATGTTAAAAATAGGTGAGTCTAAGTAAAGGGCATGTGAGTGCTCTTTGTATTATTTTTATTTTTGCAACATTTTTTAATTTTGAAATTATTTCCAAATAAAAAGCTAATAAAAAATTTAGTTCAAAAAAGAGGATATCTTTATCAATTCAGGATAGGAACGGATTAATTAAATACGAGACATAAAGTACATATCATAAAAGAAAAGATAGATAAATTTAAAAACATTAAAGTTAAAATTTTTGGCCCAAAAAACACATCTCAAAGAGAAAACATAAGCCTCAGACTAGAAAAAGATATTTGCAAAACATTAACAAAAAGGTTGAACATCTATATCTATCTATTTCTATAAATATATATATGAATATATAAAAGATAAGCATCCCAGTAGGCAAACAGGCAAAAGGTATGAGCAACCACACACAGGAAAAGCCTAAGGTACAATGCTCAACCNAAAGAGAAAACATAAGCCTCAGACTAGAAAAAGATATTTGCAAAACATTAACAAAAAGGTTTAACATCTATATCTATCTATTTCTATAAATATATATATGAATATATAAAAGATAAGCATCCCAGTAGACAAACAGGCAAAAGGTATGAGCAACCACACACAGGAAAAGCCTAAGGTACAATGC